GTGGGAAATCGAACCCGTGATCCTTTAACCACGAGACTACCCACCGCCCCATGAATAAGTATTTAACTAAGATTTTGTACGTGACCATGCAAACAAGGGGAGTGACAAATTGTGCTAAGTCTACTATATATATTTTGTTGTTGGATATAGTCCTTTAAACAATAAATGCGTTTCACATAGGTTTTAAATTTGATATTTCACTCAGGTGAACTAGTACACTCTACCTTAATGACACTGAATATTTCAAACTGTGACATGTACAACCAGGACATGTATATATATATATATAATAAAAGGTGCAGTTAGTGTTGCATGGACAGCCACTGTGCATATTTGCAGAAACAGGTGTTCGCAGTACTTATCACAATGCTACATCTCAGATGGTGTATTCTGCCGCCATCTGTGGATACATTTTGCAGTCACTGCAACAAAGCTCACTCCCTGCTCTTATTTTCCGTTGGTGTATCGAGTTGACAACTGCAGGCTCATCTTTTCATTTCCAAATGTTTACGCCCATCTGTTTACGTCCATCTTTTCATTCCTATCTTTTTTCGTTGAACTTTTCAGTCCCATCTTTTTTTTTTCGTTGATCTTTTCAATCCCATCTGTTTACGCCCATCTTTTCATTCCCATCTGTTTACATCAATCTTTTCATTTCCTTCCGTTTACGCCCACCTTTTCATTCCCATCTGTTTACGCCCACCTTTTCATTCCCATCTGTTTACGCCCATCTTTTCATTCCCATCTATACACGCCCTCCTTTGCACATCCTATGTTTGCGCCCACCTTTTAACGCCCATGTGTTTACGCCCATCTTTTCATGTCCATCTGTTTGCGCCCACCTTTGAACGCCCATCCGTTTACGCCCATCTTTTCATTCCCATCTGTTTACATCAATCTTTTCATTTTCATTTACGCCCAACTTTTCATTCCCATCTATACACGCCCTCCTTTGCACATCCTATGTTTGCGCCCACCTTTTAACGCCCATGTGTTTACGCCCATCTTTTCATGTCCATCTGTTTGCGCCCACCTTTGAACGCCCATCCGTTTACGCCCATCTTTTCATTCCCATCTGTTTACATCAATCTTTTCATTTCCATCAGTTTGCGCCAAACTTTTCATTCCCATCTATACACGCCAACCGTTTCACGCCCATCCGTTTACGGCCATCTTTTCATTCCCATCTGTTTGCGCCCACCTTTTCACGCCATCCATTTACGTCCATCTTTTCATTCCAAACTGTTTACACCGCCCACCTTTTCATTCCCATATGTTTACGCCGCCCACCTTTTCATTCCCATATTGTTTACGACCATCTTTTCATTCCCATCTGATAATGTCCATCTTTTCATTCCCATCTGGGGCGGTGGGGTAGCCTAGCGGTTGAAGCGTTCGCTCGTCACGCTGCAGACCCGGGTTCGATTCCCGACATGGGCACAATATGTGAAGCCAACTTCTGGTTTTCCCCGCCGTGATATTGGTGGCATATTGCTAAAGGCAATATTTGGTAAAGCCAAACTCATTCACTCACTGTTTACGCCAACCTTTTCATTCCCATTTGTTTACGCCCACCTTTTCATTTCCACCCGTTAATGTCCACCTGCTCATGTGTACATGATTACGCCCGTCTTTGAATGTCCACCTATTTGTAACAGGTAACAAAGTTGACGACGTCATCCGTCGAGGGATGCCATTTGTTTAATTGCATAAAAGAATCAAAATGCTTTACAATTTGTTTAATTGCAGATGTTGAAGTCGTCTCCCAGCGATATGACTGATGATAGAATACAGCAGCAATTAAATAAGTCTTCTGCCATTTATGATGGTCGTACATACCACTCAAAAGGAAATGAAGAACACGTATTCCGTATATGTTCGGAGTGTTCCGTATTTAATGACTATGGACAGATACAGTGTTCTTTAACCACCACTGAAAAAACTGACAATAGCATTATGCAAGAAGCATATGGTGTATAACTGTTATGAGAGTTCTTTTAAGTTTTTTTAAGAGATACTATTAAATAAGCCTGTATTTAAAGAATTTATTTAAAGAATTGAACGTTGATTTCCAGATTCAGGTACAGATTGTATAGAGAGCTCAAAACATTTCTAGAATATTTGTATATTTGTATATTACTATCCACAAACAGAATGCAAATATGTTTTTGCAAGTGAAACGAACCGTAAAGAAACACATTGAAAAAACATAGCCAAAAGCTGTGCGAAGATCATATCTGACCCTAGATTCTCAGCCTAGGCCTATTTTGGAAGCTTGACCATTGCAGCAGATCGGTTAAAATTATCATCAATATTTTATTGCTATAATGTTTGCCTTTATGATATATTGTCTTTTATGTAACTATTTGTTTGAGCATGGGAATCAACACGTACCACTGGTCAATTTTCCTCCTTGTAACCCAAGTCATAATGTGTGAAAAGGAAGATAGAAACTGAACCCATAAACTCATCCTGTTTGCAATCACTGTTCTAATGCTGATTATATAGTATGACCAGAAATTAATGAGAATTTTAGGAACATGTTTAATTGGATTTCTAGTATAAACAACCTTGGCCAGCTATCAAGTCATTGGTTTCATTCAAGAGAGACAACTCCGTTAATCCTTTTTCATTAGTTTGTGAAGAGTTATCCCCCTTTGTTTACTTGCTAGCAGACGACATTTTCAGTGATCCTCAGTACTGACTGCCTGACTGAGTTTGGTTTTACGCCGCTTTTAGCAATATTCCAGCAAAATCACGGCGGGGGACACCAGAAATGGGCTTCACACATTGTGCCCATGTGGGGATTCGAACCCGGGTCTTTGGCGTGACGAGCCAACGCTTTAACCATTAGGCTACCCCACCGCCCCTGATCCTCAGTATGGGTGATATAGAGAAGAGGAAGTTGATTTTAGAGTATTATAACAAGGACATCAGATCAGCTTAAGTGATTTCAAGTAGGCAACAGGCATCCCTTTGACCACTGTTTATCGTGTTTTGAAAAATATTGCAAATGGATATGGCATTGAGTACCAGGGAGGCGCAGGTAGGCCCAGAAAATTGACTGTCGGTGACAGGAGGCGGCTTGGTATTTTTGTTTCTAAAAACAAACGAAGGAGTTTAGAAAACTTAAGGCTGGATATGATTGATAGAGGAACTGTGGCTGTCTGTAAGGGGACAATTAGAACTGAGCTACATGCAAAGGGTTGGCAGAAAAGTCGAGGAATTCCATCACCGATCATGAAACCTGAACAAAAGGAGCGAAGGTTGAACTGGTGCTTACAGCATAGAAATTTTAACTGGGACAATGTGATTTTCTCAGATGAAAGTTATGTGTGGCTGTTTCCTAATACACTGAAATTCTCGACCAAACAAACTGAAAAACCTTTGTATCAGCGCCCAAAGTAGAGTTCGAAATTTAACGTGTGGGGTGGCATATCTGTGTTAGGGAAAACGCCCCTCTGTGTATTTAAAGGGAATATGAACAGTGAGCGGTACACAGATATTCTCGAGGGACATTTACTTCCATCTTCTCACGTGTTCTATGGAATTTTTTGGATTTTCCAGCAGGACAACGACCCAAAACATCGTTCAAAGCATTCACAGGCCTGGTTTCAGACCCAAAATATTAGATTTGCCAAGCTATAGCCCTGACCTAAATCCAATAGAAAATGTTTGGGGATTTATGAAGGAAAGTGTCAATAAGACAAATCTGACAAATATCGCTGAAAGGAAAGAAGAGGTGGTCCGATATTGGAACAGCATGGTCCACGACTTTCTAACTTTTTTGATCAGTAGTATGCTCCGCCGCATTGAAGCCAGACATGGGTTCAATTACTTTGAAATGTAATTAATTAAATTACAATTACTTTGATTTTCCTCAATTACAATTACAAATACAATTACAACTTAAATTAAAATGTAATTAATTAAATTACAATTACATTACCAATGTAATTAATTACATTTACAAATTACTTTGTTAAAAGACAAAAACAAAAACAAAACAAATATATTTCTGTATTCCTTTAATCAACAAGATATCGATGTTGGTAAACAGTGGTCACTAAATCCAATTCATATTTTTGTCATCAAAAAGTGAAATGCAAAGTTAGATTATATCTACAATGTACACTATTTAATCAAATTTGTATTTTGCATATTTCTTTGGGCTTATTATCAAATACACACCTCTATCATCTCTTGTTGCAAAAAACACTTTGTCCACCACTGTTACCTTAGGTGTACTGTATCATGACATCATTACAGGCCTACATTACAATATATAATCAGCCGGTCTCTCTATCTGACATAATCCACATTAACATACTAAAGGATTTGTCAACTTGGATTTATGGCTTATTACCTTTCATGATTATAAAAATAGGACTACAGTTCAGTAAGATTTTGAATATCATATCCTATGAGAAATAAACAAAGAGACCATTTTGATAGGAACTTGACTAATAGTACTGTTAATCCCCCAATTCCTCAAATACCAACCTACATCCAGTCATGCGTTACTGATTCCCTTTGTTTCACAAATATGCAGATGGTGATAGTTACAAAGGCTTAGACATTCAAATCTCTTTCAAAACTTAACACCTGCTAGAGTATATACCGACAACAAGCATCTTACTGAAAAACACTCCTTAGTCCTCCTTATTGTACAGAATATAATTGCAAGGGTTGCCTGATGACCACCAAAATAAAAAAGTGAGATTTAATTTGATGTAATTGAAAAAGTAATTGAAAAATTACATTGAGATTTTAATTAAATAAATTACAATTACAAATTACATTTTAAACATTCAATTACAAATTACATGCAATTACATAGATTTTTGTAATTAATTACATTCAATTACAATTACAAATTACAATTACCCCATGTCTGATTGAAGCCTGCATTGCTGCCCATGGTGACTTGACAAAATACTAACTGTTCACCTGTCTTTGAATCTGGATTTATGTTCTGCTAATAGTCACATTTAATACGTGAGTAATGAGTGAAGAAAACAAAAACAATTACAATCTTTAAATTCTCAATAATTTCTGGTGGCACTGTACATGTACATGGACATACATGTGGCGCTGTTAACACTCCACGATAGTGCCATATCCTTGTGTATGTTTCTTATTTAGAAACATCGCTTCTGTTCATTTTTGTCTTTAGGACGTCTTCAAACCTCTCGTTTTGAGCCACCGTGAACCACTCCTTCCAGTTGTTGGTTTGCCCTGTAAAACCGATCAACGTCTATGTGCAGAATTGAACCCTTCGTTTGAAATATGTAATTAAATGCAATAGCTATTTGGAGTTTAGAGTAGAGCATTTGTGTCTATAAGGCTTCCGAAACAGCTTTACAGAAATCAGATAGATGTTTAGACGAAAGCGTATCATAATGAGTTACGCTGTCGATGTTTTGTTCAATTTCTAAAAAATAGAGAGCATAACACAAAGCTTCACTCACTCGACTGGCTAAACGTCAATATGACATTGTATACATCTTTGACATTTGTAAACTTGATAAAGCAAGGACCCTCCCAAAACTGTTTTGATATGCTCATTATGGACAATAATTCAGGTATAGGGCGTTGTTCTGTAAAACATCAAGCCGGGACAAGAGAAACCCCCCAAACGAAACAAGGGATTGACATTATGAGCAACAATCCACAACGTCTGTAGAAGACGACAATTAACAAGCTCGATAACCCGGGTCTTGCAATGTTCCTTTAACTCGCATCATTTGGAAATATACTTCTCTCTGGAGCATCTTCAGTGTTCAAGAAAGCTGTCCTCGTCAAGGCTAACATAACTATGGGCGTGCCAAACCACATCACTCACCTTTCCTGAACATATCCCCCCCTTCCTTCCATCCAACGCCATCAGCCTTGGTTCCTGAACTGACTTTCTTGATGTTGGAAAAGCTGCAGGCGTCCGCAATCGCCTGCGCTCTCTCCACATTACATGGTTTATCTAAATATTTGCTTAGTTTTTGTATCGATGAAACAGGATCCTGCAAAACAAGTTAAAGGTAAGAACAGATTTTGAATACTTTTATCTGTGTTGAATATTGATAGACAATATGATTTGGCATAATGCAATAATATAAGTTGTATGCTTCTCTCGACGGTAATACGGTCTGATGTACGCCTCTTTGTAGCAGTGTCACCCGAGCCGGTACGTACGCCTCTTTGTAGCAGTGTCACCCGAGCCGGTAGGCGAGGGATGACACTGCTACAAAGAGGCGTACATCAGACCGTATTACCCGAGGGAGAAGCATACAACGTATTTATCTTACCGGCATGTTAAATGTACAAAATATCATTTTATTTTATGTTAAAGATCGCTACCGACTATATGACATGCAACAAAATGGCGTCTGCCTCTCGACTGGATATTTAACATCAGTGAAACATATCTGACAAGCATAAAACTGCTATAAAAACTGTTAATTATGTTTAAGCTGAGTGTGCAAACCACTCAATGTATAAAATAGCTTAAATAAAGGAGTGAAAGTCTGTAAAATAAATATGTACAAAGTGACCGAACGGTTTTCGAACTCCGGGCACTGCATGCGTCATATTATGACGTCATACGATTGTTAGCGCTTCAGCGTCTCGGCGGAGAGTTTGGCAGTTACTGTGGCAGCGGGTAATATTTTTTTCAGTTGTCACCCTCCCAAACTTGTTAAACCATCATTGACCAATGAAATTAAAGTATTTTACATGGAGGTAAGATAATGACTCACATGGTTCTCAAATCCCAATCAAACAGTTTGATGAACGTTTTGTTAGGTAAATTGTATTCTTATTCTACGACATTTGTAAGCCTATGAGAGTAACGACAGGTCGTAACGTTTCGAACGTTTTGTGGATCGAGACCCAGTGACCTTTCAAGGATCAATGACATTTTAGTTGTTTTTAAGAAAATCAATAATATCTACAACAATAATGCATGCAATCAAAGTTGTAGTCCCATCCACCAGAATTAGGACTTTGGGAAAGATAACTCTTGGAGGCTATCGAAATCCGCTGCCGCAAACTTCTGATCAACAGAGACCAAAGGTACTAGACACTATCGGCTTATGAAGAGTTAATCATACTAGAGACTTTCAATTAGCACCCTATCAGCCTGGTTTTACTATTTAAAGATGACATATACTCTAGGGGTGTACAGATACCTAAATCACAAATTGGCATCGTTATAAATGACACCCCGTCATTAAAACTACTCGTTCGATCTTTACTTAACTTAAATCGACCTTTTTAACAACAGTGCACAATTCTCACCCGCGAACGAAATTTCCACCATTTAGAGCGGCGCGTCTCCCTTACGTATTGTGAGGAATAGATATGAGGGACGATGTAGAATTCATGTACATTTCAGGGGGTAAATTATCTTGTTTACAGGTTTGTATAAACCTGAAATCGTGACAATTGTTGTGAAAAATGAAAGCTATATGTTCTCACAATCTACTGTCATTTAATTTTGTCTCCTGCTTTGCCTAGTTTCCGACTTACAGCTTGTTTTCATAGACGATTCTGTCAAAATCGCTTTGTCGATAGGCCTTATTTGTTCGAGCCAGACGCTAGTGATAGTGAAAACGATGATCAGCCTCGCTCATCACGGTTACGGTTAATTTCTTCAACCTAAACAGTGCGACATTAGGAAGGGTGGATGCCCATCAGATTAAGTTATTTGAAAATATCCCCGGTAGTTCTTGTCTGATTGTAATAAAGTATCAAAGCAGTGTGGGCTTTTTCAGGTTTTCTAATGCCTGGATGGTATAATGGCTGATCCAAATAGATCCATTTCTGTGTTTGTTACCTCGATATTTAATCAATTAAAACTGCATGCAATACAGCAATTGATACTCCCTTGTTGTAACCCGTGTTAGGTGGTATAAACCTACACAATGTCATGTTATTTGTCATAATTCACTTGATGGTCAGTTAATGAATTTATAACAGGTATAATTATTGGTAACACCACTTACACTACCCGACGAAGGTTCCCATTTGGCATTTCTTGTGTCTGGAGTAAATACTCAACATTATAAACATCGATCAAAGGATTAATAGATAACACGCTGAAAAGATTAATAACTTTTATCTTGCACAGCGGATTTGTCAAAAGGTAGTATTTATGTGTGTAGATTTACTAATCTATACTGAATATACTCTGTCGTGTCTGTGTCTGTGTAAAAAGGAAGTCCTTCTTTCAAAGGATTGACCGCCAATACATTGATTGATTGCTCATCATTGGCTAACTAAATTACTTTTTTTTTAAAGAATGGCGGACATTATGCAATTAGTTGCCAGGGCCCGGTTGTTCAAAGCACCGTTATTTTAACGTACCGTTAAACACTAACAACCCGTTAAATAGCTAACGAAAAGTTAGTTAACAGTACGTTAAAATTTGGTTGCTGGAAGGTGTTTTTAACAGGCCGTTAACTAATGGTATGATTAGAGGTTAACAGCCTGTTAAGGACCTGACCATTACCTACAATTCCTTGCATACTGTCCCATGATTCCCTGTCAAAATGGCATCGCAACAAGAAGCACCTGAAATGACCCCAGTAACCTCTGACTGTAAAAAGAGAAAAAGAAGAAAATATTTCAGTGCTGAAGAAGAGAATGCAATTCAGGCAATGTTTCAAGAAAATGCTGAGATCCTTAATAAAAAAATTCAGCAATGAGGTCACTAACAAGGGCAAGGCTGCAATCTGGCAGAAAATAACAGATTGTGTAAACAACAAAGGCGTTTGCTTCCGTACTGTCGATCAAGTCAAGGAAAAATGGGGAAACATGGCCCAAAAAGCAAAAAAGACATTCAGTAATTACAAGATGCAGCAAAGGAAGACGGGGGGAGGGCCGCCACCCCTAGAGATGAGCCAGGCAACGGCAACCATCATAGAGTCCATGAAGGATACAGCCTCTTTCAGCGGCGTTCCTGGAGGGATGGAGACTGAAATAAGCCCATGTGGTAAGAAATAAGAGGCCTAAACATAAGAACATGTTGATGTAATGATGAATTCATTCAATTGACAATATTTTTAACGAAATAAAGTTTGATTTTCCTGGCATAAAATGTGCAAATTCGATGTTTAGTACCACTATGTGGTCAAATTTAATCTAACCATCGCTTACCATCGATCTAAATTGTGTAAGATATATGCTTAAAACTGTCATAAAACTAATAAGAAACAACTCGCAAACAACTCCTAAGTATTAAACTTACCAATTCATGCTATATTGTGGTAAACTAACAGCTTGTTCCCAATATTTTAACAGTAGCGTCCATGCTAACATGTTTTGAGAGGAAGAGGAAGTGACAATCAGCGCCACCCTTGAAGCTCAGTTATCCATTCAGACTATAATTACTAGCCTGTTTCAGAAAAGTTTACATACTACTAATTACCTATAATTTTCTATCCCACCACATTTGTATTACATGTAATTGAATGAATTAATATTTCATAGTATGCAGATGATAAAAAAATGTTAGGCATGATGAAATATCCCGGTTTTCAACGATGTAAGACAAAAACGTAATTTTCATCATTAATGTGGGAGACTGTGATTTCGTAGACTGAAATGTCATTTAAAGTTTTTATTTTACTAACCTTGAGTGATAAATGATGTTTTCATCTATCAAACACAAAATTATCAAGTGTTTTCTCCAAACATAACGTTGATGTCATCGTAAGATCCCATAGGCGTAACTGTTGCCGCTCCCCACATCCGGTGATTTAGTATGGGTTGTCGACGGTGGTGTTTGGAAGAGCCTTATTTATCGCTCCGTAGGGAGTGTTGTGATCCTATTTATAGATTGCCTGTCACTAGTAGACTGATGTTACTGATTTTACTAAACATTACGATTGCTATTATTTAATTTTGGCAGTTGTTTTGCGTCAATAGTGATGTGAATGATCTAAATTAAGATACTGATTTTTTTCAAAAAATATAAACTAACATTCCGGCTTTCCGTTGTGAATAAAATTTCTCAAGACAGAGATTGGGCATCCACTCAATCCATGACACTGCTCCTGTGCAATTTAATAGCACAGATTTATTTGAAAAATAGAAATAAATATGTGTCTTGTATTTCATCAAGGTTATGTTTTCATGCATGGAGAATGAAAATACATATGTTACATTATAATTTCAACTAGGATAACAAATCCATTATGATTGTGAATGACCATAAATGAAAAAATCAGTAATTTCACAGCTTCAAAGGTAGCAATATATCTAATGACTACTAAGTCATGATAACACACAAAACAAGAATGTATTCACTTGAACTGAATAAAAGATTTTATTAAATGTATGAAAGTTGTGAATGAAGACATTATATTAGCATTATATATACAAATCTATAACAGATAATGTATTTATTCTGCACAACTTCATTTCTTATGAAAGAAAATATAATAATGATATGAAACTGATTAACAATTTTTAAGTACTTTTTAAATTCTTGATTCTAAATATAGAAAGTAATGATGAAAATAACAAGACATCATGTTGCAGATTAAAAAAATCAGTTACTAAATTGAACGTTATAAGTATTAATTTGTAAACAATGAGTTGTATGACACATTACACTATATTAGTATATTTAAATCTGATGCAATGTAACACTTGTCAATTACAGAAACAGTCAATCTTGAAGATATGGAAGCAATGGAATTAGTATCTTTTTCTACAAATAATCAGCAAACTATTTCAACTGATCCTGAATCTGGCGTCAAACTACCAGCATCACCCAGGGATACACCAATTGAATGTTCTAAAATTCCACCATCAAGCAGGCAAGATGAAGTGCAGACAGAGAAGATCCAGGGCAGACTGAGAAAATCCAGGAAGACTAAGCACAGTAATGATGATGTACTCCATATGCAGTACCAGGTCTTAGCAGGCGAGAGAGAGAACCAGAGTCTGAAAAAAGAAAAACTGATATTAGAGAAGCAGAGGTTGAAACTACAGATTGAACTACTTCATCGCCTGT